TTCTGATTAAGTTCTTTGTTCCAGCTTATCTCTTAACTCAAGCAAAAGACCCTGCAGGAACGCAAAATACTCCCTCAAGCAGTAAGGACTACCCTGAGCAGACACACTGCCCACGTGACTGACTCCAAGACCATGATCGGCTGGACTGTCACTGCCCACAGCACACGCTCAATAACCTCTGTCCCACGTTTTCCTTATACAAACCTACAAGTATTTTTGGCACTCTGGACAGTCTTTGAGAGGACAGTCCACTGTCTTCCATACCTTATTTGGCTAGCAGCGACAACATCAATTTAGTTTGTGCCATTCATCTATATCATTCACGCACTCCTATTACATGTTCCTTCAGTGTTGTACTCACTGAATTAAATTGTATTCTTTTTTCACCAACACTCGACTATCTGCCTTTGGATTTTGTCAGCAGCAAACGGCCAGACCCAATCTGCCTGGGACTGCTAGAGCCAGGTGCTTTTGCAGTCTTCCACTCCAGCCACAAGAGCATATGCTCTTTTAATGGCACATCACTGCAAAGCAGTGCTTTCCAGGGTTGCTGTGAAAAGAACCCAAGCACTGCACAAGAGATAATATAGAACTGGAAAGAGGGGAATGGTCTTCAACTGATTCCATGGTTTGAGAAGTTGTGTAATATGGAACAGGCACCCCTCCTGGAAATCATGATGACTATATTAGAATGAAATAAAAATTTATTTTTTCTTTCAATTTTTGTTATTTTTAAAAAATCGACCAAGATGTTAGGACGTGTTTATTAAGGTGTCTGCACAAAACTAGTTACTAAACCTGTAAAGAATTTCTCTTGGCCTAAAGGTGCCATGAAAAAAGTTACTCAAGTGGTCAGGGCACCAAAAACAAACTCTGTGAACCACTGAAATAAGTTTGTTTGTTTGTTTGTTTGTTTTGAAATATTGACAGTATAACTAGGCAACAGGCATTTCTAAGACAAATAGTTATATTTTTCTTTGATACTGCTGACAATGATCCCCTGCCTGTGAGGGGCCTCCTACTATCCTACCAGTTCATAGGTACAATAATAAAAAAAAAAAAAATCCACAAAACAAAAGCTGTAATATAAAAATGGATTTGACGTTTTTTGTAGCAAAGGAAAAGTGGGTCTTCACTTACACAAAAAATGAAAACAGTAACTTTCATAGTAAGAATGTCAGCAAATGCCCTCACCCAAACCTATTCCCACTTAGCAACTGGCCAGCACTCCTTTAGACCCAGTTCACACTCAAACTCGTTAAGTTGTGGCCACTGGTTATTCCTTGATCTGAGCATTCAGAGAATACAGCTCATATTTCTATTATAACACCTAAAACACCATTATACTTTTAGTTTGATTTTCCTACCATAGTAAGCATTCTTCTAGGACCATAGCTGTGCCCAATAATTACTAGACTGCTGAAGAAGTTAAAGGCTGTAAAGAATCAATGTCAGCTCAGTTTTCTAAAATCTACTGGTCTTATCTAATATCCAGACCTAGTATTTCTCAAGGACCTATTTTATACTGAAGATGTTTTAAAAAGGTGTGTGTGGGGGGATCCCTGGGTGGCTCAGCAGTTTAGCGCCTGCCTTTGGCCCAGGGCGCGATCCTGGAGTCCCAGGATCGAGTCCCCCGTCTGGCTCGGCATGGAGCCTGCTTCTCCTTCCTCCTGTGTCTCTGCCTCTCTCTCTCTCTCTTAGATAGATAGATAGATAGATAGATAGATAGATAGATAGATAGATAGATAGATAGATAGATCGATCTTAAAAAAAAAAAAGGTGTGTGTATGGGGGATTTAGTGGGGTTTTCTATTCTATTCAATTCTAGTGGGGTTTAATTCCTCAACAAAAAAATCACTTATCTGATGGCTGTTTCCCCCCTCTGCTTCATAGTGATGCTATGTCCTGTAGAGCTCAACTAGCGCCAGTATTTTGTTTTTGTTCTTTTAAATATGGAATGCTTCACAAATTTTCATGACATTCTTGTGCAGGGGCCATGCTAATCCTCTGTATCATTCCAATTTTAGAATATGTGCTGCCAAAGTAAGTATCACTATTTTGGTTTTATGTTGGGTAGAATCTCAAAAATAGCAGTTCTCAAACTTTTGTGTACATCTGAATTCCTGGAGAGTTTGTTAAAACACAGGCTGCAGAGCTCTACTTGCAGAACTTCAAAGGGCCAGGAATTTCCACGTCTAACAATAGTTGAAGTGATGCTGATGGCTCAATGGTTTAGAAATACTTGCTCTAAAGACTTACAGCTCAGGGCAGCCCGGGTGGCTCAGCGGTCTAGCTCCGCCTTCAACCCAGGGTCTGATCCTGGAGACCAGGATCGAGTTCCATGTCAGGCTCCCTGCATGGAGCCTGCTTCTTCCTCTACCTGTGTCTGTGCCTCTCTCTCTCTCTCTCTGTCTCTCATGAATAAATAAAATAAATTTTAAAATAAAAAAATAAAGACTTACAGCTCAATATTTTAAAATAAATAATGGAGAATACTTAAGATTCTTACAACATGCCACGCACATTTCTAAGCACTATAAACATAAGAACTTAATTGCTAATACCTTGAATAGCAATATGTGACGTTTGAATATTGCCTTCAAATCTAACTGTCTCTGGCAAACTCTCACTTAGTATCTTGACCTTTGCTCAAGTCCATGCATTATACTCCCATTTGTTGACCTGTTATATTCTCTGAATAAAATACTACAATTTTTTAAACTACTTAGCCATTAGGTTGAATGGTTTTTCTCATTAAAAAATAAACTTTACAACAACCAAGCCACCACCAAACAATGTTTTTTAATCAGTAATTTTTATCAAACAGAGGAGCTGAGCGGTGACTGGCGGGCTCAGGTAGTAGAGTATGCGCTCTTGATCTCAGGGTCCTGAGGTTCAGTCCTATGTTGGGTGTAGTGATGAGTAAAACAATAAGTGCATGAATAAAAAAAGAGAAGAGCCTAATCACTGTAGCAACACTGAAACACTTCTTACCCAGCTATACCCCAGGGCTCAGCACAGAGGCAGCAGACACCAACTCCCATCTCCAGGTCTCTCCCTGGAAGAGGCCTATTTGCATATTTTAAAAGCTAACGTCTAAGTATCTGGCTTCTAAATGAAGCTGTGCATTTATGTACTAAGATCCTCCCTTTTAGGACACTGACAGGTCTTGGCACATCCTCAAGGACTGGGAACTACCAATAAAGAGGTTACATAAACACAAGGTTTGAGAGAAAACCAAGAACTTGGGCCAGGCTGAAGTTATAGACTTCAATTCCTATACAAGCCAATCCATCAGGACTGGGAGAGGTGGACAGAAATCAATACCAAGTCAAGGAAAATGAGAAAATAGAAGAATATGTCCCAACATAAGAACATGATACAACTCCAAAAACATACCTTAATGAAATTGAGCTCAGTGATTTCTCTGAAATCATTAAAGATTTCAAAATAATGGTGGTAAAGATGTTTGTGATCCTTGGTAGTAAGGTCAGGAGGGCAATACATAAAAAGAAAAACAATTTCAACAAAAAGAAAATATAAGAGCATACCAAAGAGAAATCACAAAGCTAAAGAATAAAATAACTAAACTGAAAAATCCAGAGTTCAACAGAAGACTAGCTCAAGTGGAAGAGAGGACCAGTGAACTCATAAGATATTGCGTGTTTATAGATCAGAATATTGTTAAGTCCTTACTATTCAACGTTTGAATATCTGTAATCTACAAATTCAACACATTCCCCCATAATTCCAGTAGCATTTTTCTCATAAATAGAACCATCTAAAGTTTATATGGAACCCAAAAAAAGAACCCTGAGCAGCCAAAGCAATCATAAAAAAGAACAAAGTTGGAGGCATCACACTTGCTGATTTTGCAATACATAACAAAGCTATTGTAATTAAAACAGCATGGCAGTACTGGCATAAAAAACAGATACACAAATCAATGGGACACAAAAGAGAGCCCCCAAATAAACCCATTCCCATATGTAGTCAATTCATTTACATCAAAGGAGCCAAGAATACAGAAGAGGGAAAGAACACGGTCTTCAATAAACAGTGCTGGGAAAACTGGACAGCTATATGCTAAAGAATAAAATTGGATCCCTATCTTATAACCAAAATTTAACTCAAAATGAACTGAAGACTTTTATATTTTTTAAGATTTTATTTATTTATTCATCAGAGACACACAGAGGGAGGCAGAGACATAGACGGAGAAGCAGGCTCCCTGCAGGAGCCTGATGTGGAGCTCAATCCCAGGACCCCAGGATCATGACCTGAGCCAAAGGCAGATGCTCAACCACTGAGCCACCCAGGTGCCCCTGAATGAAGACTTGAACATAAAATGTGAAGCCATAAAACTCCTAGAGAAAAACATAGGAGATAAGCTCTTGGAAATTGGTCCTGGCAGTAAGGTTTGCAGTTGACACCAAAAGCAAAAAAAAATAAAAACAAAAATAAGTGGGACTGTATGAAACCAAAAAACTTTCTTGTACTTTTGTACAGCAAAGGAAAATATCAACAAAATGAAATGACAATGGGATAAATTATTTGCAAATCACTTATGTAAGAAGCCCATAATCAAAATACATAAAGAACTCATACAGGGGATCCCTGGGTGGCGCAGCGGTTTAGCGCCTGCCTTTGGCCCAGGGCGCGATCCTGGAGACCCGGGATCGAATCCCACGTCAGGCTCCCGGTGCATGGAGCCTGCTTCTCCCTCTGCCTGTGTCTCTGCCTCTCTCTCTCTCACTGTGTGCCTATCATAAATAAATAAAAATTAAAAAAATTAAAAAAAAAAATAAAATAAAGAACTCATACAACTCAACAGCAAATAAACCAACCACCTGATTAAAAATTGTGCAGAGGATCTGAACACTTTTCCAAACGAGACATACAGATAACCAATGGATACATGGGAAGGTATTCAACATCAGTAATTATCTTTCTGCATATCTTTTGTTCTGGAAACACCAGTCTCCTTCCTTTCCTTTTAGGAAATCACCTCTTCCCAAACCCCACCATATGATTTTGATAAGCCGCCAACCACAACAGTCTACAACCCTGATTCCAAAGGTGTGCATATGACACCAACTGTGCCAGAATCCCTGGCTGGGAAGGACTAAAGCAGGAGAAGCTCTTTCTTCCTTGTGGTTGTTAAACTGAGATGATGAACATGAAGCTGAGAGAAACCATGTTTCCTATGAAGAAAAAACACCCACCTCCAGTCAGAAACTAAGAAGCCAATGTGCCAAGAATCAAGAAAGTGGCAGAGAGGAGTCTCGACAGTGCCCCCGGCCCTGGAGACATAAGTTTAAGAAGCCAGATCCAGCTTCCCATGACTGGTAATATAACCTGAAACAACCACCTTGTTGAAGTCTGGTTTCTAAGATCAAACCCCAAAACCCAATAAACAGATTAAGGAACAAACTGAAGAGAAACCAGGGGTGAGATACTGCAAAGACTGACGAAAAAAAAAATTAGCTCTTCAGTAACTAAGTAGCCTACTTTAAATTCCACATTCTCATATTTAGGTCAAAACCTCCAAAAACAAGACTTTTCAGTATCCCAACTTATACTGTATCTTCTACGGCGGGGACGAAAAATGGTAATTCTGTTCCTCTGGCTTCTAGATGTTGGTGTGCTCACTGGAATGCCAGCAGGGGCTGTCAGGTCAAGGGGCTTATTGTAAGGAGCCATTTCAATAAAAGAGGAGAACCACACCATGTATCACCCAACTAGAGTTACAAGTAAGGGATTCTCACAAAATACAGAAAGGCAGGATATTTCATGCTGGAAATATTTACAAATGGTGGGTTGCTGAAAATCCAATCCTAAGTAGAGATGTCTTTATTTTGCCCTTTACAGTTTAGTAGATACTAACCTTTCCTCACTCAGTATAAATTTTGCATTTGAGAAGTTTGCAAGGAGGCCTCAAAATTTGTTTTTAAAAAGAAGCTCTAAGCAAGTTTATAGTAACCTTCCAAGGGCAAAACTGCTAAAAGCAAAACTGAAAGAACTAGCTGTTCTCATCTCTCAATGAGAAACCTGAAGCTAACAGGGGGAGTTCTTTTTCTTCTTCTATTTAATGTTAGTATCTGTATTAAGTGACACACTGCAATTTGCAGCATGAAAAACTGAAGCACAAAATGGATTAAAAAAAATCTGAAACCAGTTTTTTAAGTTCCAGTGACAGATTTTTCAGTACTTTTGAATATAAAAGCCCTGACAACATTAGGGATTTCTTCCACCACAGATCTGAGATTGTTTCTGTACACCGTATATGCCGTGGGCAGGCATAACATAGCTAACTTTAGAATGGCAAAACACCTTGTATCTTGTACAAAGAAAATGTGATGTAATATGATGGCTTACATTGATTTTAGTGAGACCTGTACTGGACTTCCGACCTCTAAGTGTACATAATAAATCTGTGTTGCTTTCATCTACTAAATTTGTGATAGACAATCTGCTACTGCAGCAAGAAGAAACTCATGTGCCTAAGGAGATCATATTACTCCCTAAGGTTCCACAGCTGCTACTAAAGCACATCTGGGAATCTTCTTGTCCACTATTCTTTTCTTTCTACTGTACTGACACCACTGTACTGACAGTTCCTCTAAAATAAACACTGTGGTTTCAAAGTCTGGAATTTCTCCCACACACTATGTGAAATAAAGATCAAATGTTTATGTTAACTTTTTGTAAATACTGTTCACAAGTGAGCCAAGCAGTGTTCTATAATTTCTGTTCTTGTACTATGTTGAATTGCTTTTCTTTGCTTCACCTTCTGTGTAACTATCATTAATTGTTCCAACACCATCCATAAATATCTTGCAGTACAACTTGTTACAGAGCTAAATGGCTAACCCAAATAATCTGAAATTTCACGAAATGGTATGGATTTTTTTTATTCAACTGACCTTCAACCAAAAAATTTCTTGTTGATGTTGTCTCAGTTCATGAAGTTTTCCTGTATTGTTACTTTGGCAATTTATTCTTGAGGGAATTCTAAAGAGCAAGGCAGATAAAGAATGCCAGGCTCCTTATCAGTAGCCCCCTCCTTAGGTAATTAGATTGGCTGCCATTCAGCCAATTCCTACTTGATCATCCACTTTTTATTACCTCTCATCCATGATTATTCTCTTTCTCTTTGTGAGTTGTATCTTTTCATACATTTTTGTTTTTAAACTTCTTTAATGTCATGTAAAGTGGGTTTCAGGAGAACAGAGATGGGGAAAGTATGTATGGGGAAGTCCAACATTCTTTCTTATGTTAGACAACTGGATCTCTCTTCCTGGTAACTGCAAACCAAACCAAGATGCTTGTGGTGAGAGACTATTAAAACCTGGAAGAGGGATGCCTGGGTGGTTCAGTGGTTGAGCCTCTGCCTTTGGCTCAGGGTGTGATCCTGGAGTCCCAGGATTGAGTCCCATGTTGGGCTCCCTGCATGGAGCCTGCTTCTCCCTCTGCCTGTGTGTCTCTGCCTCTCTCTCTGTCTCTCATGAATAAATAAATAAAATCTTAAAAAAAAAAAAAACTTGGAAGATCCTGTTCATTTCAAATACAATGTACTTAGAAATAATGAATGGAGATAAAAACAAAGAAAAAGCAGAAAAAAACTTTTTTAAATGAGAGGAAATCACAATTTATCAACTCAACATTCATAAGAGCACTCTGTAAGCCAGGCACTATACAAAGCACTTCATGTTTAATTATCTTATTTAATATACTTAACTTATTATCTAATACATCCAATTCTAGGAGATGGGATCACTATTCTTATTTTTTCCTATTACTCCTATTTGTAAATGTTTAATTAATCTGGCTCAAGGTCAAAGACTAAATAAGTATTGGCACTGGAATTCAAACCCTTTTCTGAACAACTAAACCCCACAGAAAACCAGATATTACCTGAAGAAGAGGAGGGGAAAGGAATTTGGTTTTTTATAACTACCATTAATGTTGGGGTTCCTAAAAATGAGATTTCCCAAAGCTGAATACTACTAAAAGCACATATCTCTTCTATTCCTTACTAAGTTTATCTGTTCTTAGAGTAGGCAAGAAAATGGTATCTAGCTTTTCTGTGTTTAATGGAGAAAAGGTTCTGTTTATATATAGAACTCACTCAGCTAATACTTTTTCCAGTATTTTAATGCCTTTTGAATATATGCATATATGCATACATGCAGAAGTATTTGTGTACGTTAAGATCCTAGTGAGGAAATTAGCCAAGTAGACACTAAAATAACAAATAAAATAAGATCAAAATCAAAACCACACAAAGAGGGACAGAAGGAATGAAAATGACAGGCACGTATATCATTAAGTTAATACAGATGAAAGTATTCGAAATAAGGAGGTCTAAAAATGATAATAATTAACATTTGGTGGTAAGGAGAGCCTTTTAAAATGTTGAAACTGCTGCTTTCACCATAACCATTATTTTTTAAAATTTATTTATTCATGAGAGACACAGAGAGGCAGAGACATAGGCAGAGGGAGAAGCAGGCTCCCTACAGGGAGCCTGATGTGGAACTCGATCCTGGGACTGCGGGATCACGCCCTGAGCCAAAGGCAGATGCTCAACCGCTGAGCCACCCAGGTGTCCCTCACCTTAACTTATTAAAATACTGATGTATATTTGCATAGTTTCATAATTCAATTTCATATCCAATGTAAGTATTCATTTCCATTTAGGTATAAGCTATCAAAACAGAAACAAGGAAACCAATCTTAAAACGTAAAGGCTTTACCATTAACTCATTAGTCTCAATAACTTTACTAGTTAACAGAGTTTCCAAATCTACAAGTTAGCACACACAAGCATCAGACTAGATGTCTGCATGAAAATTATTTTCAGTTCACAAATGTTTTACCTTCTAAAACAGAGGAATTTAAGTGTAAGGAAATAGCTTTCCAAAAAACTAAAAGTAAGTTCAATCTACAAAGGCAAATGGAACATAAGCACCAGAAATGTCTTATCTAAAAAATCAGAAGAATTCTTACTATGTACAAAGGTGGTAAGAGACCAAACCAACCTTTAGTGTACTCAGTACTTAAAGGAGATACAGCTGAGACCTTAGAATCTGTCTGGGATATGGGAGCTGCTAATAAAACTCATCTGTAAGTTCTACCCATTACAAGTAAGTTTTAGAAGATTTTTATTCATTTACTTGAGAGAAAGCGAAGGGGAGGGGTTGACTGTGCACAGAGGGAGAAGAAGAAGGAGACTCCTACTGAGCACAGAGCCCGATTTGGGGCTCAATTCCCGGATTATGATGTGAGCTAAAGGCAGACACTTAACCGACCCAGCCACTCAGGTGCCCTACAAACAAGTTTAAAGTAGAGAATAATACAAAACAGAATGGTTTTTCTCAGTGTATTTACATCAGTGATGAACATATTCTTAAGAAGCGCTTCTAACACCACTCTATCATTAGGTTCCAGGAATTACTGAAATTATAGCTTCTCCTTAGTCATAGATTACAAAAAATTTGCACAAATACTTCATTTTTCCACAATAATGAATGGTTTGGTGTTTTGTTTTGTTTGAATACTTTGTTACCTACCTGGTATACTCATTTTATTTTTTTAAAGATTTTATTTTATTTATTCATGACAGAGAGAGAGAGAGAGAGAGAGAGAGAGAGAGAGAGAGAGAGAAGCAGAGACATAGGCAAGGCAGAAGGAGAAGCAGGCTCCATGCAGGGAGCCCGATGTGAGACTCAATCCCGGGTCTCCAGGATCATACCCCGGGCTGAAAGCGATGCCAAACCGCTGGGCCATCAGGGCTGCCCTGGTATACTCATTTTTAAAAAATTTTTAAAATAGAATTTGTGTTCCTTAACAGTATTACTTTCTTTCCTGTTTGTACATAATACCAAGGCAATATGAGAATCAGAACCCAATCCACACTAACTCTAGACATATAAAGGCTTAATCTTCTTCATCCTTGCTGTTTCTAGGTTTGTAACACCTATGAGTCAGGAAAACAAAACTTGCTGATATTTTAGAAGGGCCTTTATTTTAGCCATTTTAAGAAATCACCTTGGGGCACCTGGGTGGCTCAGTTGGTTTTGGTTAAGCATCTCCCTTTGGCTCAAGTCATGATCTTGGGGTCCTAGGATAGAGCCCTGAGTCAGGCTCCCTCCTCAGCAGGGAGTGTCTGCTTCTCCTTCTCCCTCCGCTCTTGATCCCCACTTATGCTCTCTCAAATAAATCTTAAAAAAAAAAAAAAAGAGGGATCCCTGGGTGGCGCAGCGGTTTAGCGCCTGCCTTTGGCCCAGGGCGCGATCCTGGAGACCCTGGATCGAATCCCACGTCAGGCTCCCGGTGCACGGAGCCTGCTTCTCCCTCTGCCTGTGTCTCTGCCTCTCTCTCTCTCACTGTGTGCCTATCATAAATAAATAAATAAATTAATTAAAAAAAAATAAAAAATAAATAAAAAGAATTCACCATTTATAAAACGATGCATACTTTCACACTATTTATACAAATGACACAATTTATAATTGGAAATTGTTTTCTCTAAATAAACCTAACATATCCCAGATATGTTCAGATACCTTGCAAACAATAGATCTTTTAATAAATGTTTCAGTATTCATATAAGCAGCCAGTTAATTCAAGCTTGCACTACTTAACATGACCTACAAGAGGGAGACTTTATGA